AGGAGCAGCCGGTGGTGGTGGTGGAAAACGCGAAAGCAATTCAGCAAACTTGTTATCGAGCTTTGTTTCAAACGTCTTCTCCATGCCATCTATCTTCTCCGTGGCCTCTTCAAATCTGTTTATCACATCTTGCACCTGTCCACTCATCATTTGCTGAAACGTATCATGAAGCTCCTTGTTCGTCAAGTTCTCCCAGTCAGTCTCATCGGCTTGTGATCCTGGCATGGTTAGCAGCAATAGAAACACACAAGAATATGATCCTACAGACTACTAACAAGTGGTGGTGGTGGCGGGTGTCACAAATCCATCAAGCAAATCTCAAATTCTTACCAGTTCTTACCCAGCAGCAGGCGGTGATCGGCAACCGTTGTAGTCAAAACTTCTCAAAAGCTTGGATAGAGCGATTGCCAGGGAGAGTCAAACGCACGACGTAGATGTATGTGGAGCTGGGAAGGCTTATAGTATGGTAGCAAAAAGGGTCAGCAATAATCAATTCAGAGGTGCAAAGTTGAATAAACGCTCAACGACGGTACTGTGCTGGTCCTAGGCTAGACCGTGTTAGAGACGTGAGCCTAGAACACTAACAAAATCAGGCGCTGCACGTAAATAAGGGAAAAGCACACTCTGGAACTCTTTTTTTCGCTCTTTTTTTTTTGCGCTCCTTTTTTTTGCGCTCCTCTTTTTTTTGCGAAAAATCACTATAATGGCGAGTGTCTCAAAACTCTTCCCTCGTCAAACTGATAGGATGGGCACAAAAAAAATTCACTTTTTTCGGAAATCAGGGCAGCGTTCGAATAAGTGCGACAAAAAATCACTATGATGGCACGTGGCTCAAAAGACTCAGAAAAGCCTAAAAATAGGATAGGGAAAAAAATTTGCCCGTGAAAATTTTGGCCTAAAAACTGCCCGGGGGTCTCCAGACTCTTTTTTTTCGAGACCTACGCAGGCAAGGAAACACGAATCAGAATTTAGATTGATCTCAAGAACAAACCTAATATGAGAAGAACTCGAATTGGTGGTGGATATATGGTTGTGGTATATGGCAGCGGTGGTGGTATATGGTAGCGGTGGTGGTATATGGATACAGATTGGTGGTGGTATATGGATACGGATTGGTGGTAGTATATGGATATGGATTCAGAGCGGTGGCGGATAAGCAAAAGTGGTAGATGGGCGATGATGATGGTGCGGCGGCGGCGTGACAACTTATGACCAGAACTCGAAACTCTGAAAGACTAGACTCTAAGACCAGCAACTTGACACGACGATGCAACCGCAAATTCAACAAATCAAAAACCCTAAAAAGATTATACAAAGGCTCAGATTGGTTCGGATATGATGAACTAACCCTAAATTTTTTTCTGGCTTTTTCATGGACTGTAGGTATGAAGAACAGACTCGATCTAATCTATGAAAAACTGTAAAATCTCACCGAGCAACCTAGAAATCTGATACCACTTGATAGAGGCTAAGGTGTCCCGATGTTTCGATGAGATGGTGGCTATCGTTTTCTGTGGGAGTCGACCTTGACGATCCGACTATGAACGTGCGAGACGTCGCGCCTTAGCAATCGCTAAACCAACTTCCGAGGGTTATTGACCACGCCGGAGCACGATCAACCTGACCACGAGGGTCTGTTTCCTGCGAGCAAACGAAGAACAAGCAAGAAACTGAGATTGCAATCGGGATATTGCGAATATAAGATGAAAGCTTTATTGATCAAGGTGGGGTTCTGTGACGTCTTGGTCTGGTCGTTGGACACAAACGAAGTACGCGAAGTTGCAGCTATGGCGAACTTTTAATCTAAACAAAACCCCAAAGTCTAAACGACGCCCTAAGGGCTGTATATATAGAGGAAGAGGGGGGAATTTCGTGGCCCTTGAGGGTGGGGTCCGAAACCAACCCTAACTCTTGTTTCCCCACACATACGGACTCTAAAAATAGCCTATACTTAAGTATTTCGAAACTACATGGGCCTGGCCCATTAATAAGGTGACGCAGCACCTAGAATAGCCTATGGACGAATATTATGAAGTGGCATCTTGTATATTTCGTCCAAGGCTTCATGCACTCCTTATGGCGGCTTCAAAGTCCTGAAATCATCACTTGTAACTCCGTTCTTGATCCCCTTGCGCATGCCATCAACTCCATGTGTGTTCTTGCTCCAATGTTCATCCTTCTCCAAGCTAGGCCCTTCATTTGTAAGCAAAACAAATGTATCCAATTTAGGCAGCATCGTAATCTCATGAACATTAGAATCATTACCAAGAAACGAAAGTACCTGGTAATTTAATTGGCGTGCGCGAGCTCTAGTAATTGGTCCAGTATATGTAACAGTAGGGGCTGTCGGTGTAACAATGGTATTGATGTCCTCATCATCAAACAAACAGGGTCAGTTGAAGAGTACGTTGAACAGCTTTCTGAATTGTATGATCAACTGACAGTTTATGAGGTTCATCCTAACACCGTTCACTATGTGACTTGTTTCATGGAAGGGTTGACACCCTCGGTGCGACTGTTGGTGGGCATCTAGCAACCAGTTGACTTAGACTCTACTTATGCATTGGCCTTGATATCTAAAGAACTTGCTGATTCGCCAAAACACCTTAGCACCTCTATTCAGTTCCCACGACAGTCTATTTCAATAGCAACACCATTGTCACATTCTTTAGTATCTCGCCCTGTTTCTGACAGAAAATTCAGTGATGTTCCTAAGCCACCTCCAGATGATCGTTGGTCTGCACTGCGTGCTTTTGGCAAGTCCAAGGGCCTCTGCTTTGTATGTGGAGAGAAGTGGGCCAGAGAACACAAATGTAAGCAGGAAGTTCAGCTACATGTGGTGCAAGAGATGTTGGATTATGTACAGTGTTCACTATCGGATAGTGAGGAAGTTCTTGAGGACGATACTATCTCGGAGGCTAATGCTATGTTCCTATCTGCAGCAGCTCTGGATGATCCCTCTGAAAGCTCAACCATGACAGTGAAAATGAAAATTCAGTTACAGGGACATGCACGGGTTTTCTTAGTGGATTCTGGCAGCACCCACACATTTTTGGACCGTGTAGTGGCTGCTAGGATGCAAGGAGTTTCTGATATGGTTGTCTCTATGGTCTAAATGGCCAATGGAAAATTAATACCCTGCACTCAAGAACTGTTGAATGGTAAGTGGACTTGTGGGGGTCATAAATTTGTTAGTAATTTCAAGGTTTTCCCCTTGGGTTACTATGATGGTATTCTGGGCATTGATTGGCTAGCTGCTCACAGCCCTATGCAAGTTGACTGGGCTGCTCACTTGCTTTCTTTTGAGCTTGATAACACCACAGTTACTCTGCTTGGGGAAGATGTTGTTCCACCATTGTGTGCATTGCTTTATTTTGCTTTCTTTTGTGTGCATTGCTATAAAAAAAGGATCCGATAATGGGGCTGCTGATTCTTTGTCAGCAGGCCACATGTTTCTTCTGAAGCAGTTCCTGAAATTCAGGCATTGTCTTCTGCTCAACTGTTGTGGCTTGAAGAAATTCTGGCTAGTTATTCTTAGGATACCTTCTCTTTGGGATTGTTGCAGCGTCTTGCCACTGATGCTGAAGCTGACAAGAAATTTTCTCTGAAAGCTGGTCTGCTTAGGGTGGATAACTGTATCTGGGTTGGAGCTGAACCTTATTTGCATCAGAAGATTGTGAGTGTGTTCCATGACAATCCACTAGGTGGCCACTCTGGTTTCCCTGTGACCTACCGTCGTGTTCGCCAGCTTTTCTGTTGGTCAGGAATGTGTGGGTTCAACAAACAGTTCATGCGCCATTGTCTAGTTTGCCAACAGGCCAAGCCGGATCGAACTCCCTACCCTAGGCTACGATAGCCTTTGCATGTACCTAACATGCCTTGGGAAATGGTAACAATGGACTTTGTGGAAGGATTGCCCACGTCTGCGCGATACACAATTGTCTCTTGGTGATCATTGATAAACTCTCGAAGTATGGTCATTTTGTCCCAATGCATCACCCTTCACTGCTGCTACAGTTGTTGAGGCCTTCTTGAACACTGTTTACATATTGCATGGTATGCCCTTGTCTATTGTTTCTGATCGCGATCGCATTTTCACCGGCCTTTTCTGGAAAGAGCTCTTTCACAAAACAGGAACCCTACTTCGAATGAGCTCTGCCCGTCACCCTTAGTCAGATGGCCAAATCGAGTGTGTTAATCAGCAGGTTGAATGTTTCCTCCGTTGTTTTATCAGTGCGCATCCCGCACACTGGGTTTAGTGGATACCACTTTGTGACTTTTGATACAACACGAACTGGCATTCAGCCATTGGTTCTACTTCTTTTGAGATCATCTACGGGCATTCTCCCCGTCATTTTGGTTTGACTTCGGATGATGTTATACAGTCAACAGATTTATAGCAGTGGCTTTCACAGCGTCAAGTAATCATGGATTCAATTCATCAACATTTGTTGCGAGCTCAACAACGTATGAAAGCGCAAGGTGATAAGCATAAGACTGAACGCACATTTGCTGTTGGTGACTCTGTTTTCCTCAAGTTGCAACCTTATCTTCAGTCGTCGGTGGCTCCGAGAGCAAATCACAAGCTAGCTTTCAAGTTTTATGGGCCATTTAAGATTCTAGCTCGTGTGGGCGAAGTTTCTTATGAGCTTGATCTTTCGGCTACCAGTCGTGTGCACCCTGTCTTCCATGTGTCTCTGCTGAAGCGTGTTCTAGCATCGGATTCTCAGGTTTTACCTCACCTGGCTCCTCCTGATGCTCATTTGCAGATTCCTGAACAAGTGCTGCAACAGAGGGTGGTCCGCCGTGGCAATAATTTTGTAGTTCAAGTGTTGTTCCGATGGAGTGATTCCTCTGCGGAACTTGCTACGTGGAAAGACAAGGAGACGCTAAAACACATGTTTCCACGAGCACCGGCTTGGGGTCAAGCCGTGTCTAAGGGACATATAGTGATTATTATACGCCAAGTGACATCAAAAGTGCGAGTTTCCGAAGATGGAATGTCTAATGTTTTTTCGTCTGGGGAATTAATCGGACTATTGCGAGCGGAACGAGCAAGGCGAGCTTTGGATGAATCAATCTATTATCGGGCAATCTTATTGGGAATAACAAGGGCTTCCCTGAATACCCAAAGTTTCATATCTGAAGCAAGTTTTCAAGAAACTACTCGAGTTTTAGCAAAAACTGCCCTACGAGATCGCATTGATTGATTGAAGGTCTTGAAAGAAAACACAGTTCTGAGAGGATTATACCTGTTGGTACTGGATTCCAAAAATTTGTGCATCGTTCCCCACAAGACAAGAACCTTTATTTCGAAATAAGAAAATCTATTGGCATCGGAAATGAGAGATTTTTTGAGGGGGGGTTTCAACGATCAAGACCATCAAGTTGACCAAGAAGCGCGTGGCGAAGAGGTTCAAAACACAACCAGGCCCAGTCGCAAGCCTCAGCGGCCTGCTAGGCTTGCTGGGCCTGAATGGGCCCAAGTTACTATGTCAACTACTTAAGCTAGATCCCCGTGTCTCAAAAAAAAAAACTTAAGCTAGATCCCCTAAAAAAACTACTTAAGCTAGAGAGTGCGCGCGTGTGTGTGTAAGGCAGGCGGGACAGAACGGCTGGAAGCCGAGGCACAGCTCGTGCGTGTAGGGTGGACGAGTTGTCGATCCCCTTCCTCCTCCATTTCGAATTGTAGCTCGAGTTGCTGGCAATGTCGCCATGAAATACAATTGAGCGAGAATTGGCGCTAACAAAATTCTTCACCAAAATGTCAGAGAAGTGCACCGAAGCCAAAAGAGATCAAACGAACAATAGCACCAAACACTAACAATAACTGATCAAATCTGCATGGAATCATCTACAAGATCAAAAACCGAAATTCCGTAAGATCAAATACGTGGACATCTCTGGCTCCATACCTTTACCCGATAAGGCACCGTCACAGTGGGAGGAGAACAAGGGTAATTTTATTGTCACCAACATCACACCCTCCGCCTAAATGTCGCCAGTGAAGAATACAAAAATCAGTTTCCTTGGATTTTGCCTTTAAAATCCAACGCAATCCAACAAAATCCAACGCAATTGACTGAGTACTTCTAAACAATTCTTGAGTCTAAAAATTAAGGGGCAAGTTCAGTTTCCTTAGATTTTGCCATTGAAATCCAACGCAATCCAAGGCTGCTGGTTCATCTTCCTCCTCCCTCCAGCGTAAGAGTAAAGAGCAGCCATATCTAAGCAAGTAACTTCGCTAGTTCATCCACTCTCAGTGTACCTCGTGGAACCACATCCGATAGAAACTCTTGTGCAAGATCATTTCTCTGCTTTCCCAATCGTCTGTCAACATCATATTTCCTTTCAACATCACTAGGTTCTTCATGTTCTATAGAATGCTTCTTTACTCTTACGCCCTTATCTGGCATGCTTTTCCCAAGGCCGGACTTCCTTCGTGCACTTTTGAAAAGTGGACCTCGTGGAGCTGTCTTTGCAAAGGCAACAGACTTTTGATAAATCACATCAGCATCAACAAACTCATTTTCATCCAAGACATTTGCCCTTCCAGTTATTGTGGCCTGTTCTAAAAGAAGTAACATTCCCTCCACACAGGACAATATATTTGAATAACTCTTTACACCATCATGTCCATTCAAATCTTTACTAATTTTTCTCGTAGTCTCTAATTTGCTGACCACATCATTCCTGCTCGTCGGACAAATGGAAGTTTCTACCACATCTGGATATTGTTCAGACTTCCCAGAGTCAACAGGAGACCTTTGAACTGGATCTCCATTTTCACTGTTGCCTGATAGGATACCTTGGCCATAAAACTGTGACGTAAGAGATGGAATCACTGTATCTGAAGTAGAAAGTTGTAATGGACCAACAACTGAGATTTCAGTTACAGCTACACTCTTAGAATTACACAATCCAGGGACTGTAAGTGGAGAACTTAGCACCATATCATTAGCAAGACTAGGATTCAAGGGATCTTCCAGAAAACGTTCACGTTCACTCAAGATGCTGTTGTAAACAGATGCTGCATTATTGACCACCTCGATAGAAGTTGGAACAGTTGCTGAATCATTTTCCATTTTATTCAATTTTTCTTCACCATTGAACGGATGTTGATCACTTGGCAAAGGAAGAGATGATTGGAATCTCCAATCATTTCCTCTCCACATCAGTATATGTTCAAACTCAAAAGACAGCAAGATACATGGAACTAGATCCTGCAAGGTACAGTTACTCATGCTTTGAACAAAACAACCATATAACAACACAATACAACAGATTAATCAAACCTTCAGTTTAGCTCCAATTTTTCTGCAATCACTTTTGTTTAGACTTGAGCAATCAACTCGGACAAGATCACATGCTTCAAATGCTTCTCTAACTTCCTTCACAAGGTTAGCATAAACACCATTTTTTCCTGTACAAAATTAAACGAATTGAGATATGGCCCAATGACTCAATCATACAATCGAAACGTGCAGATCAAAATGTTGTATATGGATATACGATATACACCGTACTAAGAAAAATCAGAAAAGCTGGAATAAGGCTATAGGAAATAGGGAAAAAAAATCAGATACCATCCAGTTTTTTCGCCATACGTATGGCTGTAGGACCAAACCATAGCAAGTTAACCAGTTGAGGCAAAGCAAGTATGAGTGTCTACTCTACATTGAGTTTGGTCACAGGCATTAAATCTTTAATTGTTTTTTAACATAAGTACAACGTAGAAGGTAGAACCAAAAAAAGGGCATACAAATTTTGCAACAATAACTGCTTTGGCCTTGTTTAAGAGATCTTCTTTTCTTATCTATTTTTTGAACAATGAATAATATATCATGCAACATGCATCAACTTGTCGTATTAGAGTAATTGACTGGTACATTTTATAAGCCATGCAACATGCATCAACTTGTGATTTCGGATTTCTTTTGCCTTTTTTGCGAGAGGGCTCTTCTTTCTCCTTACTATGTTATCTACTGAGCATCCGATGTTTAAAATATGGTTCAAAGCAACATACATGGAAAATAAACATCTTTACCAAGTTTGCAAATTGGTGCTAATTGACACCCTCTCTTGCGCATTTGTGTTGCCTCGTCTGAAGTTAAGCCATCCGGCACCGTTTTGACCAGGCGAGGGTACATCGGTGCTGCAGGTCTCCAGAGCATAAGTGGAAAAACTGGGCGAGTCCTGTAATTATAGTTTCTGCCACGAAAGAGAAATATAACACCCCCTTGACGGTGTATTACTTTTCCTCCAACTTTTTCCTGCTCAAGTATGTGGTGTAACTTATGAGAAAGTAATCAGCAGACAAGCTGCCACCAGAAAGTGAAGAGGACAACAAAACAGAAACTACATAAATGAGTTAACACAACTTTTAGATTAATTCATTTAAAATGGCGAACTAGCTTACTGGTGAACTAAAAAATAAGAGTGCAATTCCTCTCCGAGCTAGAAGAGGAAATGGCATCAGTATTGACACCCGTAGTAATGGGTGGAAACTTTAACTTGGTCCACGAGAATGCGGATAAAAGCGAACATCTACTCCGCGTCTGGGGCGCCAAAAGGGGAAGGGGCGCCAGACCGTTCAAAGCTGACACGCCCCAAGAGATCTAGTTGGACCAAAAGATTGATGCGTCCGGTCTCTCATAGAGAATGGGCTCATTGATATGCGCTTGAAGACCAATCCTTTTGTACAAAGAGGAAGTTTACTGGTGCCAACGGGGATGTCAGAAGTGGTTGCAACTGAACAATCTTGAGAAGGAGCATAAACTGATGTTTTCTGAGATGAACCAACTTTACAACATGATTAAGGTCAAGGTCAATCAACATGCCAGTGAAGAAGCACTCAAGCGCTCTTGGCTTCTTCTGAAGAAGCATTACACAGTTGAAGAACTGGATGCGCCTCCTTCAACTTCTTCACCGCCCGGCGCCAGGGACGACTAGTGCCTATGTCCTCATCTTATTGGTTAGCTTTGATGCCAAAGAGGGAGAACATAATGATTAGAAGCTTCAAGATGTATTTGTTAGCTTAATCCAAACAAATTTGAGTTCTGTTAGGAGTATGCTAGTTAACTAGGCTAGTGTAGCCGTGGGTGCTAGCATGTTTGGTTAGGATTAGTATAAGTGTGATCAAGGTTGCCGGATAATTAGTAGTACTAGTAATATAGGAAAGTATAGACATGCCGAGGGTGAGGACTGAGGAGGGTAACGGATGGAGCCCCCGCCCGCCCGGTGGGATCCGGGCCGCCGGCCGCCTCTCCGCCGGGGCTCCGGCGCGTCTCGTGCGCAGCACTTCGGTTCGGGTTCACCATGGGACACCGGCGCGGCCGGACCAATGACCGTGACCGTG